GTTAGTTGTGTGAACTTGGGCAAACTTTCCTGAGCCTCAGTTTCCTCCTTTGTGAAGTGAGGTGAGATTATACCAATTTGCTGGGATTATTGTGTAAATTAAAGGGGAAAATACACAGAACTCACCTAGCACACAGTAGGTGCTCCATATGTCAAACGCACAAACCCGTCACACATAGTAAGTCCAGAATGACCCAGACCCACTGTGACAACACTGTCATGTTGATTATGCTATCAGGAGATAGTTAGATAAATTATTATTATCATTTTAAAAGATTTTATTTATTTTCAGAGATGGGGAAGAGAGGGAGAAAGAGAAGGAAAGAAACATCCATGTGTGAGAGAAACATCAGTTAGTTGCCTCTTGCATGCCCCCAATCAGGGACCTGGCCCTCAATCCAGGCATGTGCCCTGACTGGGAATCGAACTGGTGACCTTTTGGTTCGTAGGCTGGCACTCAGTCCACTGAACCACACCAGCCAGGGCTAGATAAATTATTTAATGCAGTTTTCTAGGGGAAAATGTTTCAAAGCATATTTCTGAGGGCAGAGAAATAATCAGAGTGATCCTTGCAGTGAAGAAGTTTAAGCTCAGCGGTGTGGTGCAACTCTCCTAAGGTGGGGTGGTGAGGCCCAGGGAACTCCAGGACTTACACCCGGGGCCCCAACAGTGAGGCCATTTCCCTTCGCACACAATCGCCCCAAGGAAAGGGGTGAGTGGGCAGTGTTTGGCCCCTGGCTTCTGCTGCCTTGTTGTTTCATACCCCTCTCCTAAGGCTTTTAAAATAGCTTTCAGGCATTTGGCTTACTTCCAAAAGTCCACCTGGGACTGTCCAGGAAACAGCTTATACTGTATGTGAGGCAGATATGAGGGGCGTGGGTGTGGGAAGGCTCCTTGGAGATGAATCCACGCAGCGTCCTCCCGTGTGAGTCAGGAGCAGGGCAGGGCAAGGGCTGGCCAGCCCCCAAGAGGAAGGGAAAGAGAGAGCAGGGAACCACCAGGGGGCACAAATCAGGCAGGCAAAAACAAGCCGCTGCCCGTGGAAAAATTGGTGTGTGTATGTGTGTGTTGGACAGAGTGAGGACCCCATTTATTTATTTTCTTTTTAAATATATTTTATTGATTATGCTTTTACAGTTGTCCTATTTCCCCCTGTTTATTTCTCTTTGCCCTGCACACCCCCTCCCACCCACATTCCCCCACTTTAGTTCATGTCCATGGGTCATGCAGATAAGCTCTTTGGCTTCTTCTCCATTTCCTATACTATTCTCAACCTCCCCCTACTTTCTACTTACCATTTATGCTACGTATTCCCTGTACCTGTTCCCCCTCTGTCTCCCTCCCTCTCCCTGCTGATAACCCTCCATATGATCTCCATTTCCGTTATTCTGTTCCTGTTCTAGTTTTTTGCTTAGTTTGTTTTTTGTTTGTTTGTTTGCTTGTTTTTAGGTTTGGTTGCTGTCACTTGACTTCATATTTTTGATCTTTTTCTTTTCTTAAATAAGTCCCTTTAATGTTTCATGTAATAAGAGCTTGGTGATGATGAACTCCTTTAACTTGACCTTATCTGGGAAGCACTTTATCTGCCCTTCCATTCTAAATGAAAGCTCTGCTGGATAGAGTAATCTTGGATGTAAGTCCTTGCCTTTCATGACTTGGAAAACTTCTTTCCAGCCCCTCCTTGTCTACAAGGTTTCCTTTGAGAAATCAACTAGTAGTCTTATAGGAACTCCTTGGTAGGTAACTGTCTCCTTTTCTCTTGCTGCTTTTAATATTCTCTCCTCGCCTTTAATCTTGAGTGATGTAATTATGATGTGCCTTGGAGTGTGCTTCCTTGAGGACCCTGCTTCTCAGGCTGGGCACGGCCAGCATCACTGCCAGGAATGTGCCCACTGCCTGTCTGTGTCCTGGCTTCTCCGCCTTCACAGAGAAGTGAAAAGTCAAGAGGGGTGATTGGATTCTAGGGTTGGTTCTATCCAAATCTTGCTCTTCTGCTGATGGGGAGGGAGTGGCTCAAGATCACAAAGCATGTTGGTGGCAAATTAATGTGATTTTCACCAGTCTGAGGCACATGGCCACTGGATGGACACCCTCTAGCCTCAGTTCTTAGGTCAGGGGCAGGTCTGTAGGTGGGGCCCTTAGTAATCATCAGCTCAGCTTCTTTTTCTCTGTCTCTCTGTCTCTCTCTCACCTTATTTCCCTCTCCATCACGTTTCCTTTGTTTCTGTAACTATTTTTCTCTGATCTCTTCTCCCAGTTTCCATCTGTCTGCCTCTGTGTTTCTCATTCCTGTCCCCATCTCTCCCTGATGGGGAGTTTGTTCATTGGGTCCCTGGAGTGAAATGTTTCCTGCAGCCAGTCTTCAGGGATTTGTAGCTCTCTGAAGCTCTGTTTTCCAACCCAGTGTCTCACTCATTTCCATCTCCGGGATCCAGAGATGTTATGACCTGGTAGCATAACTTGGGGAGGTGAGAAGGCCTCCTGCCTCCTAAATGCTACCCCTAGGCTCCCCAATCCCTGTTGCCATGCGGTAACCACAAACGCTAGTTGGCAGCTGGTGCAGGAGAGACTCTTTCCACATACAGAAATGAATAAGACCCAATCCCTGCCCAGTGAGCTCACCATGTGGGGGCAAGGGCAAGGGAAGACATGTACACAAGTCATTCCATCTAAAGCAGAATGCTCACAAGGGAAAAGGACAGAAGGAGTGCTTTGTACGGGACAGAGCAGGTAGAGATGGAATCCAGCTGGGCCCGGGGAGGCTCCATGAGGTGGATGGCATATACCTGGCCTTGGAAGGATAGGGGGGATTTCAACAGGATCCCTCTGCACATTCTGATCAGCGGGATGAGCATACGCAAAGGGTCTCGGCCACCCCAGGCACAGTATCTGTACGTTCAGGCACAATGAGCAGGACAGTTAGGGCATATGCAGGGGCGGTTGGAAAGCAGGTGGGGCTCATTGCTGGGCTTTGTAGAACAGCCAGGGGACACCACTGCAATTTCTGAGCAGGAGAGGCATCCTCTAAAATCCTCAGTTAAAGTGGAAGAACTGCTGAGAAGAATAATGCATTGCACCTGTTGATGAGCATCAAGGAGTCAGGAGGCTCGGGCTAGAAAATAATGACAAAGATTTATTCAAGGGCCTTAGGATTTGCACATTGAAAACACAACCAAGCAATACCCAGAGTGTTCTGAAGAAGAAAGAAAAGCTGAGAGTTCTTGTAGGAAAAAGTACATTCTTGAGAACAATCAGTTCTGCATTCCCAGCCTCTGGACTGGTCTGTGGCAGTAATCTTCCAGATGTTCAGTGGTCTGGCTAATGGATGTCAGGTGGTCTGGAGTAGTGAAGGTTCTTCCCTAACTTTTGCATTCTTCTCTAAGTCCTTCAGAGGGCTATCTGTGGGAATTTATATATCTCCAGACATTGATGTATAACCGGGAAGTTCAAAACTTTACATCCTCAGGCTAGCTAAAGTAAAATAAAATTTATTCCTCATGCTTCAGCCCATTTGGTCTGAACAAATTTTGTCAGATTGACTATAAAGAATGCATTTAAGTCAGCTTAGCTGTGCAGACTCCATCTTGTTTTCTTCACTCATTTCTCACTCCCCAGTGGTCTTGGCACTCAGGGTAAAGAATTTTTATTCCAAGCTCCACGTGATGGGTTTTGATGAGGAAGAGCAGTAGCATGGGAGGTTCAGGCGTCTTGGAAGGAGGGGACACTGGGTGGTGTGCAAAAGTGTAGAAGAGGACACTGGGGCTCCAGGGCCTGACTTTATCTATGGTGTGTGGCTGCCCCCCAAGTCCCAAGGTGACCCCCAGGAAGAGGCCAGTTGGCTTCACTTCTGGTCCTAGTCAGTTCTGAGTCTGAACTTCTCTGTTGTGTGGTAATCCACAGCTCCCGGGGTGGGCCACTAGAGGGTCTCAGGCAGGGTTGGGATTTTCTGCCTGCTGCCCTGGCCCTGGGGGAGGAGGGCGGTGAGGGAGCTGCTGACTCACTGCCTGGGGCATCTGGGCCTGCACGAGGGGTGAGTCATGACTCACATAAGACTAGGGGAAGTGCAGGGGGCTGGGATAGGGGAAAATCTGCAGGACATCTGGAGGGGGGAGGGGAGCTGGGCCTGTAGGAAGGGCAGTGCCCAGACTGAGTTTGGGAGAGACCAACAGAGCAGGCCTGAGAGGGGGCAGCATGAGTCCTGCTCTGCCCCAGGAAACTGCACCCGAGGCTGGGTCCTGAATGTCCACAATGTTCACCGTTCTCTGGGCGTAGGTACTGCCTGTAGAACAAGGCTGAGGGAGAGCTGAGGCCTGTAGCCTCTGCCCTAGGACTGGCCTCCAGGCTTAGAAAGCTGTCGCACCCCTCCTCAATCACCCGCCCCCCAGGCTGGAGAAGAGGGGGTCCAGAGACTCTGCTCTCCCTTCAGCTCTGGACTCCCTTACACTCGGGACAGTCTGCTGCTCGCAGACTCCGATGATAAACGGAGCCATCTCCATCTCTCATTGCGTCTCCTTCCAGACCTTTTCCGACCCAAAGTGGGCCTTTCAAGGTATTTTTAAGCAAACGCACTTTCCTCATTACCTCATTAACAAGTATTCTGGTGGTGGCTGTAAAGAGTAACTTCGTTTGTCCCCACTCAGTGAAGTCAGCCCTACTCTCCTCCTCCTCCTGTAGCCCCCCCACCTTTTTTTGGCCCCCAGCTTTCTAAGGGTGATCCCAGACTGCTTTACACACACACACACACACACACACACACACACCCTCTCTCCCCCCCTCTTTCTCACATACACACACACACACACCCACTCTCCCTCTCTCTCTCTCTCTCTCTCTCTCACACACACACACACACACACACACACACACACACAGAGGCCTGTGAAGTCCCAGTGTGCCTTTGTAGCCTGTGACGCATGAATGAGCTGTGACTCACAGGCATGTCACGAAAACAAGGCCTAACATGAGTCTCCAGGCCCCACAAACGCTGGGCCCAGGCTGCTCCTTCCCCATGATGCCTTCCACTCCCTCTGGGGCCTGGGTGCGCCCAGGGGCTGCCTTCTGGGCCTTGAGCTGTCCTTCAGCTGGTGGCAGAGCTGGCAGTCTCAGAGGGAGGGTACCAGGTGGGAGGGCATGGAGGTGGCTGAAGGCCAGGCTTTGGCGGGATCAGGTTAGGGCAGGTTCAGTTTCCTGGAAATGCCAAGTTCAGGGCCAGTGGGGCTGGCATATAAATCCCCACTCTGGGCACCTGGCCCTGTACTTTCCTTCCCGAGTCTCCCTGCCGTCTCTTCTGGTGAGTACCTCTGCCTTGCTGAGGGCTGAGTAGGGAGGACCCCCACGAGTCTCTGTCTTTGCCTCTTTGTCCTGATTTTTTCTCCATAGTTGTCTGTTTCTGATTTACTCGCTAGATCAGCTTGGGGCCTCTCTGCATCTCTCCTACTCGGGCAGAACTTCTACGAAGGATCAGTTTGAAGGTTTCTTTCCAGTTTCTCTGTGGGTCTCAGTTTAGGGGTTACTCTGAGGCCTCCTCTTGGGTCTCAGTATGGGGGCTCCCTGTGGGTCTCTCAGTCTGAATGTTTCAGTCTAGAGGCCTTCCTTGGGGATCCAGGACTAGGAGTATGAGGCGTCGGGGTGGTGCTTTAATGAGACTCCTGAGTTTGTTTGATTTTGTTTTTTGCAAAGTCCTGGATTCTAGCAGGACTCTAGAAGGAGCAAGAGTCAGGGATCTCAGATGTGTGGGCCCACTGGGTCTCCATCCCAGCAGCAGCATAGCTCTGCCTGCCCCTTGCTGGCAGGATGGGCTCCCGGGGTGGGGGTGGGGTTTTTTGTCTCCCTCACCAGCTCTGTTGGCCTCATCCTGGGTCCTGCCCAACCCTCCTGGGCTGGTCTGAGCATTTTCAGAGGCAGGAGTTTGGGAAAGACCTCTGAGATCTGCCCCTGTGTCCCAGGACGCCACCCTGATCCCAGGGCACTGGGCATTTAATTTCCTTAATTCCAAACCCATCAAGACCCTTTCTGGTGGAGAGGACGTTCAAATCCTGTGTGCAAGGAGGCAGCACCCTGGCTCAGGGGCCTCTGATATGAAGGGAGGCTTAGTTCGTACCCTCTGAAAGTCCCTAGTCTGAGGGAGGGAACATCCTGCCTGAGGGAGTTTCCATTTAAATGGGAGAGTGACAACTTTGGCCTTAGGAGCTCCCCTCTGAGGAGGGAAACAGCTCCTCAGGGAACCTTGCACCCCTAGGCTGTAGCCATGGTTACTGCCCTAGCCCAGTGATCTTCTACTAACTGACCCATGGGGATGCCTGTCACCCCGCTGCTGGCAGAGAGTCCATTGCCCTGAGAAGGAGCCAAATGGGACTCTGGTGCCCCTGTCATTTCCCTCCCCACAGACACTCAGAGGGGGAGCCCTGCCCTCAGAGGTATGCCCCAAGAGTGATAAGAGGAGGCTTGAGGCCCTGCCCTTGGGGACTCCCATACAAAGGGAAGGTTTAGGACCTGCCCTCCATGTGAGGTGGAGGTGTGGCCCTTGCCCAGGGAGCCAGACTGAGGGGGAGACATAGCCCCTGCCTTCCTTGTTTGGAGGGGCAGTTTGGGCACAAGGGCAGAAGTGGGCTCTGCGGGTTGGGCTGAGGTGTCTCCATCACCGGCCACCTAAGTGCCTGCAGATCCAAGATGTCTGGTTCCCTGGAGTAGGCACTGGCTGTGACCGTCACTACCTCCCACAAGTACTGCGGCTGAGAGGGGGACAAGTTCAGGCTAAGAAGAAGGAGCTGAAGGAACTTCTGAAAAAGAACTGTCCAGTTTTGTAGGGGTGAGTGGGGCCGGCCTGGGGTGGCAGGGTTCTGCTGTGTGAGTGTGGGGCCACCGGTTAAATCTCTTCTCCCCTCCTCCAGGAGGTGCCTGCTGACACAGACACCAGGGTGGGGCCGCGCCCTTCCTGGCCTCGCTGCCGTGGGAGAGAGGCCCACGTGTGAGAGAGCCCTATTACTGCCTGTCCCCTGCAGCCCTCCAGAGAATGGATGTGCTCTCAGTGCCTTCAAAGTCTGTCTGTTCTATCCTCCTCACTGGAGAGTTGAGCAAACCAGAGCCCAGAGAGGGGAAGAGTCTGGCCCAAGGTCACACAGTGTGTGCTCTCCCCCATTTTTATTATATATATATATATATAATAAGGAGGCAGGATTATATATATATATATATATATATATATATATATATATACACACATGCAGTCAACTTTTCAACTTTCGGCTTTCATTTGTCCCTTGTCCTCCCCATACCAACTACTGGATGATCCCTAAGTCAGGTCTCAGACTCTGAACCTAGGAGGTATGGCCTTCTTTCCTTTACAAAAATTTTTGGGCCCTGGCCAGGTGGCTCAGTTGGTTACAGCATTGTCCCAATACGCCAAGACTGTGGGTTCAATCCTCAGTCAAGGCATGTATAAAAATCAACCGATCAATGCATAAATAAGTAGGACAACAAATCGATGTCCCCACCCCCTACCACCGCACTTCCTCTGTCTCTCTAAAATCAATTCAAAGTTAATTAAAATTCTTTCTGGCCAAGCTTTTAAGATTTAGTTTCATTTTGGCTAGTATTAAAAAGTTTGCCTTGCCTCCCTTGGCTGGGTGGCTCAGTTGATTGAATCTTCGTCCCATACACCAAAACGTTGTGTGTTCCATCCCCAGTTAGGGCAAATACCTAGGTTGTGGGTTTGATCTCTGGTCAGGAGGCAAACAATTGATGTTTCTCTCTCACATCAATGTCTCTCTCTTTCTCTCCCTCCCTCCCTCCCTTCCTCTCACTCTGAAATCAATAAACATATCCTTGGGTGAGGATTTTTAAAAAAGTTTGCTTTCTTGTGAATTTAAGTTACAGATAATGCGGAGAGGTGGAGGCTCTAGAAAGCTTTAGTTTCTTTGTCAGCAAAATAGGGGTTATGATACCCACCTCACTGGGCTCCTGTGGGGAGCAGAGCTGACCCCGTGCTTAGGGGGTGCTTGGCATGCTCCCCACTCCCAGCAGAAAGAGCTGGATGCTCTCACCAATAAGCATCCATCTGTCCTTACTCACAGGGCCTCTGAGTAGCTCCCAGGGGCTCTGGGTCCCCCCTTACCAGGCTGCCCAGTTCACAGGGAGAGCTGGGCTCTGACCAGTGAGTGTGTGTTTGGGGTAGAGGTGGGAGGAGAGCCGCCTGGTGATGACTCCACTGTCTCTTGCCTTCAGGAGAAGGCGGATGAGGAGAGCCTGAAGTGGCTCATGGAAGGCCTGGATGATGACAGTGACCAGGAGGTGGCTTCTGGGAGTATGTATTTTTCTGGCCCCGATCACTGTTACGTGCAATGACTTCTTCCAGGGCTCCCTGGACCGGCCCTGCAGCAGCTCTCGGCTCCCTGCCATGGGTCTCTTGGGCCCAGGAGGACTTCCTATTTTTAGTTTTGTGCTCAACAAACTTTTTTGTTTGTTGATAAAATTTTAATAATCCAGTGATGCCCTGTAACCTGGCTGGCTTAGGTGGAGTGCTGAAAACTGAAGGCCTCCTAGATCTGACCCCCTTCTGGGCCCTGACTCTCCTTCTAGAATCCTCCCCAAGGCTCGAGGTCCCATACTTTGGGGTTTCAAATACCAGTGAAAATTTGGAAATTGAGATAGTTTGCTAAGTTTCCTTCTTTTTTTTTTTCCAAATAAAGATATTAAAAAAGGCAAATCCCGTCTACTATCACTGTCATTTCATAAAAAAGAAAATCCCAACAAAGAAGGAAAGACATAATCTCAGAACAAAGGGTAGACTCTGATGTTCAATACCGTGAACAGTCTTGGTATGAGGATCTGCTCAGGAGACGTGCGTTAGTCTACTCAACCAGCAAAGCTTCGTGTTAGGGACTTTCTTGTCTAACTGCAGGCCGCAGGCTGTGTCCCTGATTTCAGCAAAGCTGTATTTCCTTTTACATCTGCTTTCAGACCGGCTAGTCAGAGTTCCAGTCAGAGTTCATTCCTATCCTGTTGGTCTCTGCTGACAGCTACTAGGACCTGGTTGATAACAACATTCTGACTTTTTCTACCATTTTTCCTAAAATTGCCATATATTTTGCACCCTATGGTGCATTATCAGATGATGGTTTGACCACGCTTTGCCATCTCATAACAAGGTCACCAACTTTCCAGTTTGCAAAGGTTAGGTCCTTATATTTTATTCTTTTCTCTCTTCATCCAATTCCACATTTTTGGTTCCTTTTTTTTTTTAAGTGGATTTCACTTCTACTTGCTAAATTCTCTACCAGTTTGGAATATATTCAGTTGTGAGTTACAGGAAACCTTATTAAATGTTGGCATTTAAATGCCTTATACAATAGCAAGTCTGGTGTATGCAATTCAGGTTTGGTTCAGTACTTCTGGTTACCTGTTACTGTATAACAAACTACCCCAACACTTGGTGAATTCAAATGTAAATTTATTATCTCTTAAGGTTCTGTGAGCAGACTGGGATTGTTACTGAACAGAAATGGGGTTCTACTGCCCGCTCTGCATCGGCAAACTCCAGAGGCTGAGGCTTGGGGAAAAAGGACAGAGGTTGTTTATTCAAAAGACGCACGACTTTGGGAGAATGGCAGGCTTCTGCCTCAGAGCCCGTTCCCTCTGAAACACCCCAAGAAAAACCCCACCACCCTTTGCCAGATTAGTTCAAGGCTGTGCTTGGAGTTTCTTCTCCCCAGAGATGGAGAGGAGCCGAGTGAGGAGATGCTGGGACCACTTGCTTGCTCTCACTTACTCGTCTGCCTTAACTGCATGTCTGGGGCTGGTGAGGCAAGGCCAGGTATGTTCTAGCAATAAAAACACGAGAAGCCTACTTTCCTAATACTCTGTAGGAAAGGGAGCCAGTGAATATAGGTCATGGAATCACGATAATGGTAATTAACATTTCCACAGCAGTTCTCAGAGCTCTGTTCGTGTACATTGTCATTTCAGCCTCCTGGTAGCACCAGGAGGAGCTATCATTAGGTGCTTTTACAGGTGAGGAAACTGGGAGGGAAGAGCACCCGCCTCTCGTGGAGTACTGCCTTCGGCCAGGCTCTGTGCTGGGCCCATTGGAGCACCGAGCACCGTCTCATTGACTCCTCAGTGTTGGATGAGGGATTTGCCATCCGTTCTTGCACTTCATGGAAGAGGACATAGGGGCTGGGAGAGGTTAAGAAGAGCAGTGCTGGGTCTTGACTCAGGTCTCTGAGGAAAGGTCTCACTCCTATGCAACATAGGGGTGGCAGTCTGTGCCTTCCTCCCCTTCCCCCAGCCATCTCCAAAGCCTTGGCTTTGTGTCAGGTGACGGGACCCTAAGTGAGCAGAATCCAGATGCTCTGGATCAATGGGGAACAAGGCCCAATTGCTAGTGGTGGCACACTGTAGTCTGACTGTTTGCCGTGGACCCCAGCCTCTGCTGGGGCTCAGTTCCAGGTTCTGGGGCTTATTTGGCTGGTGGAGACTGGCCTCAGCTGGCTCGGGCCTGAACAGGACTAATTTCTTTTCCTTTCGCATTTGACAATCAAACAAACGTCATCCTTTCTTAACTGATCTCAACAATCTTTCCTGGTCCTGACCTTCCCCTCACATCTCTGTGCCGGTGCAGAGAGCAGGAGGATCAGGAAAATGGCCCCGTGTGCAAGACCGCTGACCAGGTTCTCTCTCACCTCCCACTGGGATCGCGGTCGGGAGGAGAGCCTTAGGTAGACACATCTCACCTCCCATCGGGTCCTGCTGTCACTTTGGCCTTTGGTCTTTTAGGTAAGCCCCTGGCAGCCTATTGACCCTCTAAGAAAAGAGAGACTTAAAGCAAAGGGGGGTTCTGAGACAGGGGGACGACTGAAATAGGGCTCTCCCTATTTAGATCTCCCTGTCTTTGGATCACTTGATCTCCCCACCAACTCACTGCTCCATTCTGGGAAACGGGCATAATTGGGCATTGACTCGCCAGTCAAGAGGGGTAGTAGGTCTAAGCCCCACGGGCTCTCTTTGATCCCATTTCAGATCCTCTGCCCACCCCTATCCCCCAGTCCTGGAGCGAAGGCCTCCCTGGTTGTAGCCCCAGGAATCAAACCCCCCTCCCCACACTTCCTCTGTACTTGGCTCAGGTGATGGGAAAGGAGGTGGGTCAGTGTGACAAGGTTCATTGGCCCCATGACCCATGAGGGTCACCCTGTCCCTCAGGCCCAAGTCCTCCTGGCACAAGCACGTGAACACTCAGGTGCTCTGGGACACTTCATCTTCTTTCTCTCTGACGTGCAGCACTAGGCCTGACCTTCGGGAGGCAAGGCAGTTTCCCGGGAGGCCTTTGTGAGGTGATGGTGGTGTTAGTGGGGGACAGAGGCAGTGAGAGCTGGGGAGAGGGTCAGTGCTGTAAGAAGTCCTGCCAGGCAAGACAGCATCTGCTCTCACCCCTTATACTCCGGTGCTACTTCCACAGGGAGAGACACTCCCCACGTGGTGTGCTTCTCAGAGTCACCTCCATAGCTCACCCGAGAGTTCTGGTGAGAGGCCAAGGGCAGGGCTCCACCCCAGGGCAGAGAATCAAGTGGACATCGTGGACAGTGGGGGTGGGAGGGGAGGATTGGTCCCTGTGAGGGCCTCAGAGGGGCGGTTAGTGTGACGTGCATTTGGAACCACTGTGGAAGGGGGATTCTGGTGGATGCTGGGCAGCGCTTCCAGCAGTGCAGGAAGTCCCAGTCGCAGTGAGAAGAACTTGGAAAGCCAGAGAAGAGAGGCTGCAGCTTGACCCTCTGCCTGTGTGAAGGTAGAAGGCTGGCCAAAGTGACCTGGTGAGGAGGGCTGGTTCTCTCCCCCCACCTCCCTTCTCCCTGCTGCCTCCGTGGTGCCGCCTCCATTGAAGGGGCTGTGTGCGACTCTTGAGTGAGACTGAGACCTCTGTCCCGAACTGGCTACGGCAGCAGCAAGACTTTCACATCAGAGTCTTGCCATAGGAACCTTCCCAACACATTTTGGAGAAAAGGAAATTAAGGTCCAAACTAGGCAGAGGGTGTGTTCAAATCAGGTAGGCAAGAGGGTGCTGGAGCTTAGAGTAACTGTCCCACCAAGGGTTCTTTCCCTGATGGTCCTCCAACCCCAAAATGCCTATACTCAGACCCCCGTCTGCACCCCTCCACTTGCTCCGGCCTGCCCTGCTCTGGAAGTCTCAGCCTCTCCCACTGGGCAAACAAAGGTGGGACATCCAGGCCGAGAAACATGAGGGGCTTGGGAGCCTGGCGACCCAGCCCTGCTCTGACCGACCGCCTGTATAAGGTTCCCTGGGCCCCACCACCACGTTCTTTCCCTCAACCCTGCTTATCGTTCTCCCCGGCATTTAATCTGCCTGCGTACAGTGTATGGCACATGTATTTGTTATTGTCTGACCTCGCCATTCAGTTGTCATCTTCACAGAACAGGGACTGTGTCAGTTTTGTTTGTGGCTATATCCTCAATGCCTTGGACAGGTGTCTCTAAATATTTATATAAATAATAAATGACTCTAAGCCCTGCCGCTGATTAGTTATGTGACCTTGGGCAAGTTACCCACCTCTCGGTTCGCATTTCTGCCCTTACCAAAAGCCAGGCACTACTTATATAGGAACTCTGTGTGGATGAATTCATTTGAGGCCCACAGCAGCCCTGTGAAGTGGTCCCCATTATTATCCTCGGTCACTGACAGATGAGGAAGATGAGGGGTGGTGGTGGTAAGGGAGTGGCCTGCTGCCCAGAGGCGGCTGGTGGCGAAGCTGGGGTATCAGGGGTGAGTTCCACCAGGAACTGAGTTAATTGCTGGTCCACTCTGGCCCCCACTTCCGTGCCCTGCTCCCTGTAATTCCTTGTCAATACAACAGGGCTAATCACAGCCCCCGTTTCCCTCCCGTTGTTCTCTCCCCTCAGCCACAGGGGCTGAGTCTCCAAGGAGATGATGGCGCAGGCAAGGTTTGGGTGCTGGGAGCCAGGGTGAGCTCATGGTGTCATTTCTCTGGCTGCCTCCACGAGGACTGGGGCTTCCTCAAAGGCCTGGCACGTGCCCTCCCCTCCCTCTCCCACACTCTTCTGGGTCTTTGGTTCTCCGCCTGTGAAATGGGAAGGGGTCTCTCCGGCTCAGGGATAAGGAATGGAGAAGGAATACGAAGTGTGGGGAGGAAGAAACTTTCCTTTACCCATTTTAGGTTCTTCTAGCTGGTCTAATAATTAAATCAACACGAGCCTGATTAACAAAAGAAAATAGCCAAATTTAATTACAGATGTACACATGGAAACCCCCCACACATGAGAGAGTCAGAGACACCACACACATGCAGGGTTCAGAGGCATAAAGTTAAAATGAGGTATGTATGACACTCTGAGCTAAGGATGGGGTCAGGAGGCGGGGATTGGGGGGGCGGGTTATTGGCAGGATGATAAAAAGAGCGGGTGTTCAGTAATTAGTTGTTTGCACTGCCATATAGGTAGGTCGTAAAAGTTATTTCTGGTGATACTCTTATTATGGACAAAGCCCCTAATTTAAATACTTTAAGGGAGAGGTAAAATCTTCTTATGAACCCACAGGGTCTCGATTGCCTTCAGCTCAAAATAAATCACATGCCCAAGTGCTGCGTCTCAGAGAGGCCTGTTCTGAACCCCACAGGAGGGATTTCCATTTCTGGTAACATGGTAAACTATGCCTATTCAAGCTAAAAA